GGTATTTCTGTTGTAGTAGCACTAGATTACTAAGACAGTAGTCAATTGACATAATGTAGTCCATAAAAAAAAAAGTGCTACATCCTATTTTATTTTTGAGTAGTGATTGGGATCTTAAATCTAATGAATGGCCATCTGAGGTGCAACTGTTGTTCTCTTCCTGTGTGGCGGGTAAGAAGAGTGATGAAAATGAAAGACTCTTGGAATCAGGCCAGTGTACTAACGAAACCACATGAATTCAGTCGCCACGATCCTGAGTCCAGAAGAACTAGATGGTACCTGGCTACCACTACCAACTCTTCTGAAAGGGATCACATTAGAAAGTCCTGGGAGAAAATGTGGAACAAAACTCAAAATTATAAAAACAAAACTGGCTTGCCTGGTCAGAAAGACACTGGAGAAACCTGAGACTATGGCCCTTGACCACATTTTAGGTCTGAAACTGAACTACTCACCCTCATGGCTCAGTTTCAGTCAACCACAGTCCTAGAGGGGGATGGGGACAGCGACACTAGTGAGGTATGCATACCGTGGGATGGTCAGCCATTCAAGATCAAAAGGCAGTATTTATCTATGGACAAAATTCAGAAGGGCTAGAAAGAAGGTAGGATGGAAACAAGAATCACAGGGAGGAAGTACAATAATTGTTCCATGGAGGGGATTGCAATCATTGAAATGAAGCGAAGTATATGATTTGTTGGATGTAAAACTGATGATCTGTTCTGTAAACCTTCACTCCAAATTTTAAAAACCTAAATGAAACCAAAAGCAACGTAAAGATGGAAAACCCACCATGTTGTGACCGTGGTGACCATTGCTCTGGTACAAGTTCTAATATGCATATGCATGATCTGGGGGATTTTGTTAACATGCAGAGTCCAATTCAGTCAGTTAGGCCAGGCTTCTGATTCTTAACTACTGATCAGCTCCAAAGTGATCCTCATGTTTCTGGTTTGAGGATCACACTTTAAAGAGAAAGCGGCTAGAATATAGTGTATCCATTTATTTTCAATTTCTACCTAAAAGGAAAAACCAAATTTAAAAATGATCACAGAACTGTAGAATTTTCATTGATCCTCATGCACAGCCAATTTGAGAATCACTGGTTCATTGTGTGCTACAGCACACTATAGAAGCAGGCTAGCAGGCAGCCAGAGGTTTAGTGAGCTGTCCTACAGATTTACTTGGGTATGTATGGGAAATTGAGCTTGTCCTCATGTATGTCCTGGTATGACGCTTAGGATAAGTGCTGAACTGCTGACCATAAGCTTGGCAGTTCCAACCCACCAGCCACTCCTCTGAAACCCTATACAGTGTCAACTGTAAGTCTAAACTGGCTCTACAGCACTTAACAACAACTACAATGTCATTATCTTAAAAAAGAGTTTTGTGGTGAAGGCACTTATATCAACTCTCCCATTCTTTTAAAGAAAAATATCATTTTTTCTTGTAGATTTTGTGCATGAAGCTGTGTGGAAATGTGAACGCTCATCTGTCACCTCTTTATAGCACAGCGGTGCCCCCTGATGGTAAGCTTTCTCATTGCTTCTTTGATTTACATGATAATTTATTTCCATTTTCCAAATACAGTGATAGCTGTAAGTTTTGAGCAAAACAGACTAACTAGTTACTCCTGTACTCCTCCCACTCCTGTGTTCCTCCCCAGCCTCTGTTCAGTTCTTCCCTTCTCTGGGCCCTTAAAATTCAGATGCCTTTTAGCTGACTCCCATCCCAGCAATCCCAGGAGATACAAGTGATCCAGAAACAGTTTCTGTCCTCAAAGGCTTAACTATTTACCTTGAAGATCTTTAAATACGTAATTATAGTATGGTGGTGGCTGTGTGCTGTGGAGTCGGTTCCGACTCATAGCGACCCTGTACAGGGTTTCCAAGGCTGTACATCTTTACAGGAGAAGAACGCTTCATCTTTCTCCCACAGAACAGCTGGTAGTTTCGAACTGCAGACCTTGCGGTTCGCAGCCCGATTTGTAACCACTATGCTACCAGAGCTCCTTGATTATAGTATAGTATATGAATAAAATGTTTTAGACTGGTAAAGAATATATAACCTGTATTATAAGGAGTCCTGGTGTAGTGCTGTGGGTTAATGCGCTGGACTACAAAGCTGGTTTGAACCGCAAGGTTGCTGTTTCAAGCTCACCAACTCCTCCTCAGAAACTCTATACAGGGTCACTATGGGTCAGAACCTACTCAACGGCACTTAACAACAACATTATAAGGAAAAGTAGTATACAAGCAATACACATTGTCATCAGAGGTTGACGAATCTACTAGTATTTAGAGATTCTTGTTAGAATTCATATATTTAAACATTTTAAACTGGTTTTGTTGTTGTTGTTGTTATGTGCCGTGGAGTCGGTTCTGA